ATACAGATCCCAGTACAGTGCTGGTGCAGGTTCTGGAGGGGGGGGGGCTTTGTATTTTGAACCGAAATCAGGTTCAGAAGGTCAAGGGGGCAGCACTGTGTATATGGATGTGTGTGTGTGTGTGTGTGTGTGTGTGTGTGTGTCTGTTGAGTGGGTCTCAGTCAGAGTGTGTGTGACTTTGGGGTGGATGGAACTCAGCGGGGACGATATGGATAGGAGGGATTGTTCACAATTCATTGACTTTGGACTGGGTTCTCTCTAGTAACCAGTGTGATCCTTGTCAACCTCTACTTGGTGGTGTTCACGTCATACTGGTTTGTCACTGTGCTGCTGCTCATTTGGCTGGCTTTTGACTGGAAGACCCCTGAGCGAGGTAAGTGCCTACTGGGATGTATTGCCATGTGTTCTTCCTGCTTCTCTCCTAAACCTGGGAGGCTCTGGTCAATTCCCAGGCAGTTTGTCAGCCTGTTCCTCCCCAGGCTGGGAAATCTGAGGGAAGTGGTCCTTTTAAAGTCTTGGAAAGACTCATTTTGGAACTAGAGTTGGTAAGAGGAAGATAGGGGTGGGTGGGGTAATGAAGCAGGGGCTCATTCTCAGTTGTTCTTGCTATGCCCATTCTACTTGCCATGTAAGAAGGCAGGACAAAGTTAGAAGATCCCGTGATATCCCCAAAGGGACCAGAAAAGGAGAGTGGGGTGGACAGAGCTTGTCTGTGCTTTCAGGCGGCCGCCGTTTCACCTGTGTGAGGAGGTGGTGTCTGTGGAAACACTATTGCAATTACTTCCCAATCAAGGTGAGCCTGGACCAGCATTTGGGTCAGGATCAGGGCGCAGGGTGCAACCTCACGGGGGCTTGGGAAAATGATGACCCCTGGAGATGCATATGGCCCAGCCTGCATGACTGGAGCCTACAATCCTTTTTTTCTTCAGTTCACTGACTAAAAGAGGAGTTTCTTTGTCTTTAGCTCTCCCGTCTCCACTTTCCACTACAGATTTTGAAGACGCATGATATTTCCCCCAGCCACAACTACATCCTTGCCTGCCATCCTCATGGGCTCTTGTCCCATTCGTGCTTTGGCCACTTTGCCACTGACACATCAGGCTTCTCCAAGACCTTTCCTGGCATCACTCCTTACATGCTCACGCTAGGAGCCTTTTTCTGGGTGCCCTTGTTCCGAGAGTATGTGATGTCTACAGGTGAGTGATATACAGCCACATAGAGGGCTACCCTAAGAAGAACCACAAGATATGTAAGAGCAATGTGAAATATGGGATCTTTTCAGGCGCTAAACAGCTCCCCAGAATCACAGCTGGAGAGGATGCTCCTTGCTTTGCTGCTCCTAAGAGAGGGAAGTGGGGGAAGAACGGTTTACAGGGGTTGGGAAGTAACTAAGGACCTTTGGGGTTTTCTGCCTACCAGGGGCCTGCTCTGTGAGCCAATCCTCCATGGACTTTCTGCTTACCCGCAAGGGCACAGGCAACATGCTTGTGGTGGTGGTTGGTGGCCTGGCTGAATGTAGATACAGCATACCAGGCTCTACCACCCTGGTCTTGAAGAATCGGTATGGTTTTGTGCGCACGGCCCTTCGACATGGGTAAGGATAGCTGCTGGGACATGGGGGTGAGATGCGGTGGGAAGGATGCCCAAAAGCCCAGCAGGGAAGAATATCAGGCTTTGTGGTATCTAAAGATAAAGGAAGAGATATGCAAACAATTGCTAGTAAATACAGCCATAATGAAAATATACACATCGTGTGTGCATGCGTGTGTGTGTGTGTGTGTGTGTGTATGTAGGCTTAACCAGCAAGCTTTAAAGACCCACTCATCCCCATCTCCTTAGCATTTGGATTACAGTGGCAATTTTTTTTTGAGTATGGGTTCTGGGCATTGAACTCAGGTCCTCATGCCTGCATGGGAAGCATTTTACCAATTGAGCTAATACTCTAGCCTTCTTTACACAAATTCTATTCAATTTTGTCAGTTAAAAATAAAGAAAAGGACAAAGGTAAAGAAAAGGCTTAGAAGAGAGCTGGGCAGAGTGTTGCCTAAGTCCTGCACTAGCCTAGCCTCTCATTCAGGCCAGTCTCTCTACAAAAGGACTGTGCTTGTACCATATAGCAGAGAAAGACAAACTTCTTACCATGTGGGCTAAGGGGAAGAAACTAAATTAAATGGCCTTTGGACATGGTCCAACATTGGTTCAGATTTGGGTATTCCAAGGAATCACTGAGCTACTAAAAGCTGCTGCTTCATTCCTAAGGCAGCCTGGCCTAGGCCATTGGCCACCACAGTCAGCTTGGTACAGCTAGACTTGTGATCTAGGGAGCCGGTACACAGACTCAGGGGATGCTGGTGTTCAGCATGTCATCTTCAGCATGGCCCCTATCTTTCTGGGTATTCAAGGACATGCTTTTCTTCTGCAGGACATCTCTAATCCCTGCTTATGTCTTTGGAGAGACGGACCTCTACGATCAGTACATTTTCACTCCTGGGGGCTTTATCAATCGCTTCCAGGAGTGGTTCCAGAAGATGATACACATCTACCCCTGTGCTTTCTATGGGCGTGGCTTTACCAAGAATTCCCGGGGCCTTCTGCCCTATTCTCAGCCAGTAACCACTGTTGGTGAGTGGGCCCTTCTATTGGTTTAAGTTCTGGGGTTCACTTCTGTGGCTGAGCCGCAGAACCCTGACTGTGGTTGGAGGCAGGAAGGTTGGTTGGGAGGAGCAGAGGGTCAGGGTGGAGAGACGCTGAGCTCCAGGATGTGGGCTGTGCTGTGGAGTGAGCTAGTCTGATGCTTTTCTCTTTCCCCTTTCCATTCCCCTTGGCAGTTGGGGAACCTCTACTACTGCCCAAGATTGAGAATCCGAGCCAAGAAATTGTGGCCAAATACCACACACTCTATATTGACGCCCTACGCAAATTGTTTGATCAACATAAGACCAAGTTTGGCATCTCAGAGACCCAGGAGCTGGTGATAGTTTGAAAGACATTCCCCTGGCTGGATGGTGTAGAACTGGTGACAACAGGCCAATGTTACCTACGGAGCTTCACTTCTGATTGCAGCAGTCCTCGCTGGAGGGAGGTGGGGGTGTCCATTTGGTTGTTTTCTGTGACCATCCTTTTCCACTTCCATCTCTTTCTCCTACTTTTTTCCTTTTTCTCTGAGACAGAGAAGACCCTAGACAGAGGTTCAATGAAGTCACTGGAGGTTGCTGAGGAATGAATAAACAGCCCATCTCTGGTACTGTGTCCTCCAGCTAGTCTGTTTGGAGAGCTCTAGGAACTTGTGTGTCTATCATTTTTATGGCTTCAAGACTCTTATAGGACTGGGTATGAGAGCCAGGGGACACTGGTTTCAGACAGCAGCACATTCAAGACCTGTGATTTTTTTTAGGGGTAACCCATCACTTCTTATCATCATCCTGTCCATCTTATTAGGGAAGGACAAATAATCCTTCACTTTGCTTACCTTAAAGGCTTCTGACAAGTTTAAATGCTACTGCATGATACTAAACTTGGTAAACTGGAGAGCTACACAAAGTTATTCTCCTCCAGCCATCTAACCCATTTCCTACCCTTAAGCAATCAATGTCCTAAGGTCCACAGTATCTCAGCTTCTAAAAGAAAGTGCAGGGTGGTATTTTGAAAGCTTAAGTAATTTGATATCCCTTGGTGACTCCTGTCCATACCTACTTTCCACCTTATAAAGCTATCCAGGAATGGTCAATGGTTTAGATCTAATTTTCCCATTTTCACCCAAGAAACTTGCCTGTACTACCCTGCCCCTATTAACTCTGCTGCTTTTTTGCTAATTAAATGGGATGCCTGGCTTCCAGTAGCCATTGAAGAACTTGCTTTCTGAGTTTCTGAGTGGCAAGTCTCTCACACTATTAGCCCAGTGGTTGTTGTAATCACATATTACACAATTTGGTGCACAGGGCCTCTTGGATGGATGTCATCTGGTCCAATCGTTTACCTGCAATAAGTTTGTCAAGTTGTTTTTAAGACATCCTGTGTACTTATTACAGTGTGGCACTCCTCTATCTTGAATGCCTATCTCATGTGGTTGGTTGTGCACTGTATGACAGAGGCGTGGTCTTCTGCTATTTTCTGCCTGTGCTGTTTCTTGTGCCAGAGGTTCTACTTTCCTTGATGTTTCCTTTCCTTAAGGTGCCATTTTTCAGTACTGGGAATCAAATCTGGGACCTGACACTAAAGATATGGTCTACCACTGAACAACATCCCAAAGTATTCTTAAATTTTCCAGGCTTCTGCAGCTGAAACCCTCTCTCTAAAGCAGCCTGAGGACCAGCTTGTGTATTAGTATCCAAGTTATGCTCATATGACCATTGCAAATTCGTCAACATTACTTGAGGTCACAATCTCCACAACAGGACATAGGCTGCTGGGGTTGTGAAAAGTCCCATCAAATAGTCTGGACTGCCTATTACTTGCTATCTGTTCTTGTGGTCTTCCTTAGAATAGCTTGTAAGAGTTTCTCCAGCAAACAGCATGAGGCCAGGCAGTGCAGACAGCATGGCGGAGTGGAAAACATACCAGGGAACAAGCCAGGCTGAGATACTTCCTAGTTGAGTGGTCTTGGGGGAGCTACTTAACATCCTTGAGCATTGGCTTTGTCTGCAAAACGAGCCATTTTGTGTATTAATGAGGAGCTGAAAGTTGGATCTCTTCAAGCTGTTTTGGGCAAGACTTGAATTGTTGTAGATGCCACATTCTCAAGTTGAAGGTGGCCCATGCTTTGTGTTTTTGTCTTGTGACAATATGCCTCTGACCAGACATCATGCTAAAGTTAATGGAGTGGAAGTATGTAGTTTGGTGGGAAGAGACCACATGGGATATAATGGTAAGAATTTTAGACTAGTTTCCTTCTGGTGCTCTCACCAAAATGGGTTTCTTGATCCTTTCCCAGAGCTCACGTGTAGTGGCATCATTTATGGAGAATCATTGACATGTAGAAGCACTCAAACTGATTTCAAGAGTGGGGAGGGGATCACTTTATTTGCAAAGAAGAAACCATTAATTTACACAAACTTACATCCCTGTTTATATACATTATATATATATATAGTTTATATACACATTATCTCACACAGGATGCTGACCCCCCAAAGCAGCAATAGCCTGCTCCAGGCCATTCTCACAACAAATCCCCTCACCCCCATCTCAGCTGGAAGCTTTTTGAATAAAGAAACACACCTCAGGCCCCTCCTAGAAAGAGCCCTGAAATGGATTAAGAAAACAAATCAGGTTCTGGGGTGCACATGGCCTAGGTACACCCAGGCAAGGGTGGGACCTCAGGTAACACTGTGGAGGACTAAAAACTGCCTGGCTCTGAGCCAGTTTAGAGCCTTCCAGTCCAGAGGCAGGAGCTGCACAAATGCCTTGGGGGAGTGTGTGAGGAGAGGAGTTCGGATGAAGACTGCAGCCACACTCCCTGCCTGGTCAGGCTCCTGAAGAGAGACAAGCACTTCTAGCCTTGAGTCTGTGGGTATATGAAAGAGAAGACCCCCATGGAACAGGCTGCCCCTTTTCATTGCTGAGTCTGGAGGTGGGGACCTGTTCACTGTCTGAGCATCAGTTTCATATGAGTAACAGGATGGGATGTAGGCTGGGCTGTCTTCCCTCTAATTGCCTTTCTAAGTCAAAATTTCTCTAAATCTGTTTGCATCTACTAGAAGATGCATAAAACACAAGCACTCACATGAGGATCCAAGTCCTTGCTTACCTCTGGGGTCCTTAACTCTTGCTTCCTAAGCTACAGAGATATGACTCAGGATGGCTAAAGGGGCAGCTAAGGCAAATGCTACATCTTCCAGGGAACCAGTAGCCAAATAATACCCAGCAGCTGCATTTTGAGATTCTGAATCTCAAGCAGCTGGTACAGGTTCCTGCCATGCAAATTTTCTTCAAACCTGTCACCTGCTGACCCAAACATGTCCCATTCTCTCTGTTAGCCTTGGGGTAACTTCACATCATAACAATTCCAAACTGTAAATCTATCTTCCTATCCTGCTATCACTAAAATGCTTCACCACTTTGCCAATGATTACAGCACACAGGCCTCCCACTCTCTACTACTTCCTTCCCCAACCCTCTTCCTCTAGGGCTCCTTGTGAGGGCTTAGAATGAAGAAAGGGTAGAGAGAAGCCTAATTCTCCTATGATCTCTATGCACAGAGAGTTTGATGGGTGGGGTTGGCATTCCTGCAGGGGCACAGTTAGGAAACAGCTTTCCTCACAGTCATCTGGCTTTAGAATGGTCCTCTCAGGTTTCCCCCTATTCTTGAGAGACTCTGGCAACATCAAGGGCTTTGTAATATGGCAGATGGAGACAAAGAGTCCATGAAACTACAGGAATCAGACTGGCTCCCAGCACTTGTGTCTAGTGTTAGGAATGGAAGTGTGATGGCTTGTGTGATAGTTACTGCTTTTATCATATGGGTGAAAGATCCTAAAGGCATTCTGTGGAACCAGAGCTTGAATGGAAGATTCTTCTCAAGACAAGAACTCTTAAGGTTGATTACTGGGGCTGTTTCCCAAGAAAATACCCAGTCTTCTTCCAAAGAACTCCTGACAGCCAAGAGAACAAGCAGTGCCATCAAGTAATGAAAATTAGGCATTGCTAGGTTTGTCCCTAGGACCTCCAATGATGTCAGGTTTGTCCCTAGGACCCCAATGATGTCAGTTCCATATGACCAGCTTTATTTGTTCTTCCTGGATCCCAAATTCCAGACAGTACTGTGGTAAGGAACTAGCGTGGGAGTCAGACCTCACTAAAGGCTCAGGTCTGTGACTTGTGCTGTGTGAGGTCTTAGTCAAAGCTCTTTACCTCTCCGGGCCTTCCCTATACAAGGGAACTGTGATAGTCCCTACCCTGCCTTCTTCAAAGGAAATAGTAAAAGAGGAAGTGATCTTCAAATCCCGAGGAGAGGGTCTGTTAGTTCCTGTTACCACTGCTGATTGTTCAAGGCCTTCAGGGTCAGATGCATGTCTAAAGTTTACCTCAGTTCTGGTTGTAAGGCTGTCATTAGCATTAGACAAAGGAGGCTTAGCCTACCACCTCTTGCCCTGACCCTCTTAAGACCAAACAATGTGGCTACTTGGAAATGGAAGCAGAGAAACCTTTTGTTCTTAATGAATATCAGGGATGTATTCTCCGTCTCTTCAAAAAGAAATACATTTCAAGAGCAAGAGGAGCAGGCTGTAAAAGGTTGATCCTCCCTGCTTTGGGCAGCACCTGGAATCCTGAAGCCAGGCAATTGGAAAGAAACTCTGTGAATAATCCTAGAATATGACTATGCAGGAAAATTGGTGGAGGTGCCTTTGGATCTGAACTAGGGATCCGAGCCCGGCACAATAGCCAGACAATTGATTTCTCTTGAGTCTGGCTCTGGGAGAGCAGCACAGAGCTCTATGGTGACAGTAATCTGTTTCTTAAGGAAGACTGGGTGAGTGGGCCATCAGCTTCTGTTCTTTCAGATAAGACCTGACCTAATGGTCACTTGGGCTGACCTAATGATCATTTGGGTTGCAACAAACATAGACAAAACTCCCTGTTTAAGATTTCCACGTCTCCCTCTTTCTGGGCAAGGTATAAAAATCGTGCTTTGGTAAGATCCAAGAGAGTCTAGGGTTTGGAGATTCAAAAGTCTATTGTGGCAGGTAACTGTTGAGAGACACCAATATTCAAACTCTAAAGGGCTTTTAGAGGTCATTCTGTTTAATCGTCTGTTCCCAGACACAACTTAGTTAGAATTAGATGACTAATAATTGTATTGCTTAATCAATGGATGATTCTTCGTGCCAAGGTTATTTAAAGACTACACAAGACTCATGTGAGCATGAGTCCCACATGAGGCACCTGTCTCAGACAGAGGTAGGCACTGTGGAGAAAGAAGATAGAATTTCTAGGCAGTCTTGGGAGAGTGACTGGTGGGAAGACTCCAGGCAGTTTTCAGAACGTGGAACATAGCTGTAAACAAAGAGAAATGCATGGCCCCAACTATAGATTTGGGTTCTTACATAGGCAGGCTTGTGGCCATGCCTTCAATGATTCTAAGGCAGAGCAAAGTTTCCAGCTCTGGAGTCCAGCAAGCTGCCACAGTGTACCTCTCCACCTGAGTGGGAAGAGTTTTTTGAGCCTCTTGTAGGTTATAGTGCAATACAGCAAGAATGGCTCCTCTGCCAAGGATGCTTGCTTGGCAGGTTATTGCCTGGGTCTCTGCCACAAGCACTTGCCTTCTTCTGACCTTACCCTCTCCTTAAGTTGCAACCTAATGCCACTCCCGGCCAAGAGAGAAGCAGAAGCCCCCTTGGAGTCAGACAGTCACTCCTAGAATCTGGAGTGCACTTTTGCTTTTTGTGGCCTACTGTCTTAGATCCTCAGTTTAGTGCAACAAATGATAAATCTGGTAAGGGACCTAGGGGTTGAGGAGTCACCACAAGCCAGTCAGCAGGTAGCCTAAGAAGGTTCTGCTTCTTGAAAACCCTGGGGCTTCATCAACTGCCCTGGCAACTCAAGGTCATTCTGGGAAGTCACATAGGCCTTGTCATCCTGGAGTCACTGGGGAATAAATAGCACTGGGGCATTTCTCTCTGTGGCTGCAACGCCAATATACCTCACTCCACAGCAGCACTTAGAGGTTCTGGGAGTCCTGGCTCCCAAACCTGGGGCAGGGGCAAGGGCCAGGATGGAATGGGAGAATCTAGGAGGCAGGGGCTTCGCCCAGCCTGATGGCCCCAAAGAAGGTGGTGTGTTTGCTCATATTGATAGAGATGTCAGCGTGCACCATCTTCACGGCAATTTTCTGCCTGGCCTTGAGGAGGCACACGCCTGCAGTATAGCAAGTGTTGTAGTTGGTCTTTCCTGTCTCAATGCTGCGGGTGCACTGCAGGAAGGGCTTCTCATCCACCACCACCTCGTAGCTGGCAAAGTCAGTGAAGTTGATGTAGTACACCTGGGTGAGAGGCAACGAGAAGGGATTGGGGGAGAGAGGAAAAAGAGGGTGGGGCCCTCCCCTGGTGAGCGCAGATAAAACCTCCTCAGATGAGCTGCCAGTATACCCTGTGCAGGGGGCACTGCAACCCGAAAGTGTGCCTGCTGCTCAACAGGAACATCAGGGTGACAGGATCGCTGTCCTTCCCCTGCTCTATGGCTTCAGGGCGCTGAGCCAACCTTTCTTACAGACTGCTTGAGTCCAAGAACTGTGACGTACTTGCCATTTCACCGGCCCATTCCCTAGCCCTGGCATGAAGCAATGCTTTGCACATCGATGGAGGTGCTTACTCAACACTCCAGATACACTAACTTCCAGTTCCCATTCTAGAGACGATTTAGGAATACACTTAGGAATCCCTGGTGCCTGAGAGAGGTCACAGGAATGATTTCCCTTTTCTCTAGCTTGTGAGCAGAAATGTCCCGAGCTCGCAACACAGTCTCCTGCATTGCCCTCCTCTCCTCTCTCATCACACCTTGGCCCTCTCACTTGCTGACTGAAGAAGCAGGTCCTGAGAGATGGAGAGCTAGCCCGTACAAATGAGGTAACGGACGCAAATCCTAGTCTCCTAACTTCATTCTCAGGCCAGAAGGAAGAATAAACCTATGACCTGGTCTCAGGGAGACTTTCTTAGCTCATGAGGGCCACTCCTAATCCTCTCCTGGATCCAGATATTTAATTTCCATTTTTCATTACCTTTTGTCAGCATATTCCACTCTGAGCTTTGATTTTTCACCACTACCAAATGGAATTTAGTCCACAGGATCTTGGTGTTATGGCCACATGTCCCATAGGAGGGGGGGGACTTCTTTCATCTGACACTTTAAATTACTTCATCAAAATGACTCCACGGGCTCTTTGGTTGGAAAAAGTATATTTAAGTGATGCATAATCTCTTGGGTCCGGACCAAGCTATGTCAGGACATGCTGTTTGCCAGGCAGGTGCTAGTTAGCCCAACTTCTCAGGCCACTTCCTCTTGAGAGCTGTTTGTCAGCTCCTCAGTCCTTCTGTTCATCTGCCTGTTTACTGCCTGCATTCCAGAAACCATGCCCTCAAGGCTCATCTACTTCTAGCTCTGAGGAGAGCCCTGAGAGAGGCACGCATGAGGGATGGAGACAGATGGCCACTGGCAGACCTGGGGGGAATGGGCCCAGGGCAGGAAAAGGACAAAAGCGGAGGGGAGAGAGGTCTGGGAGAGTAACATCAAGAAGGAGGTGAGAACAACAGAAACAGACAGAAACAAATGGGAGAAAGAGGAAGGAAAGACAGTCAGAAATCTTTATGAGGTAGAGAGAAGGTCCACAGGAGCACTGCCCATTATCATGCCCAAACTAGCAGTGTCGTGGGGAGGGGTCTCAGCAGCTCTGGGACTTAGTCTCAAAAACTTAGAGCAAGGTCAGGTCCATCTGTGGAACCAAACAACACAGAGGGGAAACAAGGGCCTGGGGCCCTGCAAGAGGGAGTCAGACAGCAGGGTGTGGGAGGGGTCCCTTTATAGTTTTCCAGTGATATTTTGCTAGGGAAAAAATGAAACAGGTTCCTTTGGTCTTTCCTCCCTTCAGCTCCCTCCCACTGTGGAATCCACCAACCCTTTCACCAGCAAAGCAGGAAGTAAGCCATTGGATGGTCTTGGCTTGCTCCACAGTGCCCCTATGTGGCCTGCACCAGATTTGCACCCTGGATATAAGAAGAGTTAGGCCTAAGACCGTACTCACTTCTACCTGACTATAGATGAAGTAGGTGCCGTCCACCAGTACCTCCAGCTCCCCGCTGCGGGGATGTAGCTTAAACACCTTGGGATTCATAGTGATGCGGGACCAGTCATTGAGCACTCCACCTGAAAGATCTCAGTATGAGAGAAGGGCAGTCACTCAGTACATGTCTAAATAATCTGGGCAACAGAAATAAATATCAAGCAGTACCACTCCCTCATTCCCCAACGACCCTATCTAGCCCTGGTGACCACAAAAGTTTCAAGTGCCAAGCTTGAAGAAGAACATTTGGAAGTAGGGAAGGCGTACTGTTTGTAAAATGGTTTCTGGGCCTGTCTCAGGACCTACAGATCTTCGTATCAGTCGTTCCCCTTGCATTCCTCACCTTTAATCAGCAAGGTTCTTTACCTTCTAGCTGGAATCTGAGGTGGTGATGGTGGAAGAGGAGAGTAGGTACATAACCATATTTTCTTTGTTGTTATGGTGACTGCACAGGCAAAATCCAGACACTGAGTGGCAGGCTAAGTCTTAGTATTCAATTTCACTTTCCTGGCAATATCACCCGAATTCCTCTCTTGTCTCAGAGGTTCATGTGTTTTTTGCCTTCTTCTTAATAGATTCTTTTCTGTGGCTCCTCCACACCCACTCCTTTCTGAGAAGCCTCCAGAGGGCCCCAGGAAACCACTTCATTGAACGATCCATCTGTCTGGAGAACTAGATAGTCCAGTATCAGGGGTGATCACTCACACTCCAAGGCAGCTGGGGAAAGTGACCACCAGCAACCAGGTCCCATGGGTGAGGCAGAGCTCTATGATACTTGGGGATAACTGCCAGGTTGCAGTAGACCAGCTAGGAGGATATGGGAAAGCGCCTAGGAATTGAGGCACCCCTGGAAAAGCATCTGTTTCATATGCCTAATTCAGTTGGGGACACAGCACAGGAGGAGACGGGGATATTTCTCTTTCCATCCTGCAGATAGAAAGATGTTCCTTCCTACCACAAGAGGAAGGAATGTACACCCTTCCCGGAGGGGGGGTGAGGGGGACTTTTTCTCTCAGCCATTTGTTCTTCATATAAAAAGATTATGTTTTAAACATCCACCCTTGGCCAGTCTCAGAAGGTCCGCCTCTCTGAATTATGAAGAAAAAGGAAGCCATTTGAGTTAGCAGTAGATTCTGGTGCCAGTACTTCAGTGAACTTCTCTGTCTAGTGTCCTCTGCCACTTCCCTCACTTCTGGTGGTCCGTGTAAACTACTACTGGGAATTAGCCTGAGGGACTAGAAATTGTCTTGCTCTCTTATGGTAGTGGAGGCAAAAATGAGTGGCTTCTGCCATAAAATGAACATTAAGGCCACCCAAGCAAATGTGGTTCCTTTCTGACTGTGGTCTTCTAGGTGGATGGTGATTATGGCTCACCTGGGACCCTGGGTCCCACAATGCTTGATCCTCCACAGGGGTCCTAGGTGTTTTCTGTTCTCTGCTCCCATTTGTACTTGTGAGGCTCTTAGGCTGGGGGGTTGGTTTGAATAGGAATGGATCCCACAGAATTATGTGTTTGGATGCTTGGCCCATAGGGAGTGGCACTGTTAAAAGATGTGCCCCTGTTGGAGAAAATGTGTCACTGTGGTGGCAAACTTTGAGGTCTCGTATGCTCAAGCTATGTCCAATGTGGCTCAAAGTCTCCTTCTACTGCCTGTTAATAAAAGATAGAACTCTCGGCTCCTTCTCCATCATCATGTCTGCCTGTACGCTTCCATGCTTCTTGCCATAACAATAGTGGACTAAATCTCTGAAACAGTGGGTGGGCCTCAGTTAAATGTTTTACTTTTCAAGAGTTGCTGTGGTCATGGTGTCTCTTTATAGCAATAGAAACTCTAAGACAGCTGGGTATTCAAGTGACAGCCAAGGGAGTAGCTATGTCCAATGATGAAGGGATCTCAGCACAGACAGTTGTTCAGGACTGACTGCACTCCTTTTTTTTTCAAGACAGTGTTTCTCTGTGTTATAATTCCGACTGTCCTGTAACACACTTTGTAGACTAGGCTGGTCTCGAACTCACAGAGATCTGCTTGCCTTTACCTCCCAAGTGCTGGGATTAAAGGCGTGCGCCACCACTGCCCGGCTGACTGCACTCTTAGAAGCTGTCCCCTTGTAGCAGGTTTTGTAGCCTTCATTTATTGTTTCTGCTCACAGCCCCTCCCTTCCACTCCATGCTCTGTAAGCATCTGGCATCTTGGCTGGCTTGTTGTTTTCCAAGACTCCTGGGGGTTCATGCATTTTAGGCTTTGGGCACCCTGGAGACTGGACATTATTTCAAAGTGCTGTTCTTTAATGAATGCTCATGTCTCTTTGGGGAAAGAGAATGAGCCTAGTCATTCAGTGGACTGTACACACACATCACCAATGTAGCATAGCACAGTGCCAAGAGTAAGAAAGATGTGCTTTTGAATCTTAGCTCCCAACTTAACTCCAAAATCTTGGACCAGTTAATTAAGTTCTCTGAGCTTTGTTTCTGTGTCTGTAAGAAAGGAGAATTGCAATACCCACCTTATAGAGCAGCTGTGAAAGTTAAATGAAACAAAAGACAAAATATTCAGGAATTCTACAGTGCCCTGTAAATGGAAGGCAGTATGGCTCATCTTTGTATTTCCAGTCTCTGTGGAGACTCTGTTTCCCCATCTCATAAATGAGGGTATAACATTAAATCAGCATTTCTCAGTGCCTCCACGTGATTTCACATTTGATAGACACTAGTGTCTCCCATTTTCTAGAGACTAACGTATCCCCTTTTCTAAGAGAAACACCATTTCCACCCATTTTCTGTATCGAGAAATCAGGTAAAATAATTTATTTAATATAGTTCTACATTCCTCATTACACTGTGAAAATGTTTATTAAAATACAAATTCTGTGGTGACTCTAATAACTTAGGTAGATGAGGTCCCAGGTCTATTCAGATCCCATATTAGTGGATTTTAAATGCAGTTTAGGGCCTGAGGATGCACTTCAATTGTAGTGTACTTGGCTAGCATTCACAAGGCCCTGGGTTTGTCCCCTTGCACTGCAAAAACAAAACTAAATGCGATTTGGGTGTAGCAACTAGTTTTGGTGCAAGCAGTTACTTATGACAGCCAGTAGAGGGCACGATGGAGTAGGAAATGTCCTTCTGTGCCAAGGATACTCAGGGACTTGGGAGGAGCTAGGCTGGCTGATAATTTGGAGGCTGGAAATGAGGGAAGCGAGAAACTCCTTGTAGGGAGAGAGACTACTTTGATTCTTACCATTCTTGACTTGAATTGCTGACCCTTGGCCCTGCAGATGCACCACAGCTGGCTGGGAGGATGAGAAGAAGAGAGTCACTGTGATGGCTGCTTGCTATGTCATGCAGTCCCCGTGTTTTACCTCTGGCTCCTAGACTGCCAATTCTGATCCCATTTCTCTGTCTTGAGATATATTCCTCTAAAAATTAGTAGGACGCTATAGTTGTATCGCTTCTCCACTGTGTGACCTTCAGCCAAATGTGGTGCCTCTGAGCTTTATTTCCCCAACTGTAAAATGGGAATTACAAGAATCTCTGTCTGGCCATTCTCCCAAGGGCATCTGCAGATCTAATAAGGAGGTGAATATAGAATTGCCCATTTTCCACCCATTTTCGGTATCGAGCAATCAGATAAAATAATTTATTTGATATAGTTCTACATTCCTCATTTGCCATCAAGAACTGTGCGACTGTGTAGATTTATCATCGTGGCCAAACCACTGTAGTGAGGGTGGTTGCTGGGAGGAAACAAGGCCAGGCTAGTAGAACTTGCCAAAAGAGACAGATTGGGAAGCTCAAAGACTAGGAAGGACCCTACCAGGACATTAGTGGGGAAGCCCAGGCTGGCCTTCATCTAGAGCTAATTGTTTGCATTTCAAAGACACACTCTTAAACTTCTCAGCTCCAGAGTCTAGGCAGTCTGAGTACCTGTTGGGCATCTGGGGTGGCTTGAAAGTCAGAGGCCTAGGTGTATAGGCTCAACAGGCTTGGACTACTGAATCTGGCGGTAGAGACCCTCTGTCACTCACAGAATGAGTAAAAAGGTCCAGGCAAGACTGTTCCAAGACTATTCCCTTAACTAAAGCCGCATCCTTCGGGCAAAGCTTTTCAATTCAGACCTTGGCAGTGGCTGCCATTGAAAACCTTGGTGCCTCTAGGGCAACATAAAATAAAGCCTTGGGGAATTTTGTAGGAAGTAGACTCCAAGGTGACCCCAAGCCTGAGGCTATCCCTCCTCCCCAGGAAGACAGTAATCCCCAGCCAACCTGGTTTTCTCGAGTTCCAGTTTTATCAGCAGCACCTGCAAAATAGGACAGGGCAGTCAGTGTTGTACTCTTTTCTACTTCCCTTTTCTATTTCAGCAGCCAGGGGTTCAGAGTCTAGATTCCCCACAGCCATCCCTGGAGGAATTTTCTACTCCAGGTCTTACAGCTGAAGGGAGTCACAGTACAACATGGGGCCTGCCAGTGGGGGAGAGAGTAGTCCCTCCTTCCTATTCTTGTGCCTGACCTTCATCTTCAGGGGGTCTATATCCCACCAAGGCAAGCCCCACTGTGCTCCCATGAAGCACAAGAGGCTATGCTATGCCTGTCATTGTGTGTCCCTAAGACAATGGCAATTGCTTTTTTAGCCCTTTGTTCTTTTCTTACTGACTTTCCAAGGACCACTGTCATTTATAAAGATCTTGTTCCTTTACATGTGTCTGTTTGACTGTAGGACATAAACTCCGAGAACAGGGACCATTTAGCAATATATATCTTTTTACACAGAAATTGCTCAATTAATATTTGTGGAATGATTGGATACAAAAAACAACTTTATCTCTTGTGACCATGGTAACGCTGCTGAGCCCTGTTTGAATCACAAATGAAAGAATCTGTGTCCTGTTGCTGAATTTTTAGACCTAGGGAATTCAGCTTCAAGAGTCCATTTCGTAAAAAACCAAGATAAAGGAGGGGAGCAGGAGAAGGAAATAACAAGTAGCATAAGTTCAGGCAGTCTGCCTCCTGTCAACTCTAATTAGGCAGGTTTGGATCTGCAGCTGTACCTGTTGCATGCCCTGCCGGGCTCCAGGAGAAAGATGCGAAGGGATGGAATGGCATGGTATTTCAGGATGTAGTATGAGAAGTACTTGGCTCGGGGACAGAGTGGTCTTAGTGTCTATGTTTGCTACAGACACAACCTGAGTGATTCATAAATTTCTAACCACTTCACTAGAGGTGGCTATTTGTCCACACCAATGAGAAAGGAATCTCAGAGTACATGGGGGGAAACTAGGATAGGGTTGTCATTTTGTACAGTCCTCAACATTCCTCCTTACAAACTATTTCCATGCAAACATCATGTGGCACTCTATGCTGGAAATCAGAGTAGGCCAATTCTATAAGTACAGCAACTCCTGTGAGTGACTGGGACCTCTTTCTCATACCTCTGTTTTTGGCTCACGTGAGTTTATTGGCTCACAACATGAAGGCCTAGAGCCAAAGACAAATGTGACGGAAGGGTTGGCATGGGGCAAGAACAGATGGCCTGTCTGGCACAGCTTGATCTCAACAAGAGTTAGAGACGGCCAGGCCCTACCAGAGCTAGCTGAGTTTCCAGCTCTGCACAGGACTAGGGATTCCTTACTGTACATCACCACTGTTTGAAACTTCCCTGAAGATTACCTGCTTCTTTTCTACAAAAGCACTGACATGGTTTCTAAGGGGTGGGAGACAGGAGAACTCACCAGAAGGTCCTTGGAGGCCAGGGGGTCCTTGAGGACCAGGAGGGCCAGGAGGGCCAGGTGGTCCCATAACAGTTGTTCCTGGAATCCCAGGAATTCCTGGAATCCCTGGGGGTCCCTGGGGTCCTGGAGGTCCTGGAGGGCCAGGGGGGCCATTGGGCCCAGGAGGCCCTGCTTTCTTTCCTATAACGACAGGATTCAGTGTTATAATTTGGAGTTAGTTACTGTGAAGAATGTATCATCAGGAGTGTACTTTCAGGGGTTCCTGAATTTCCCAATGATACAAGGTCAGCCATCTAGGAGTTTTTGCTAAAGAGCTGGACATGTTTATACTCCCTTGTCTTACCCTCACTTCAAGGAACACTTGAAGACATAGAAATAAATAGCCCTTAAGGATCCCAGTGCAGTAGGGAAAAAGGTTATAAGATATTAGAAGTGCCACATTAATGAGAGGGACCAAATGCTAAAATAGGTCAGGCAAACTTTTAAAAATGAGGCTTTGATCTGAGTCCAAAGGATAAGAAGTATTAGGAAATCAGACTTAGGGACCTTTGTGGTTCTTTTTAGAGTTTGGCTGTCGTTGATAAGTGAGGGGCTTCATTTCACGTGCAGTTGGGTGGACTTGATGTGATTAAAAGAGATAATGGAAGTCTGACCCCAGGAACACCTTCAGCTCCAGGAAGATTTGTCAGGAGTCAGATGTGCAAGGGATGGGGGTGGATAGGGGCGGCACTGTCTGCAAAAGGGGAGTGAGAAGGAGGTTTGGAGATAAAGGTGGAAAGGGAGGGCAAGGGACAAAAGATATCAAGAAACAACAGAAAAGAAGGAGTAGCAGGCAGAGAGACCTAATGAGGAGGTGGCAGGCACAGCTTTCTCAGCTGACCTCTCCAAACTCTATTTTTAAAGATCCCTGGGAAAGGAAATTCTGCAGACTCTCTTGGTTACATGTTCCAGTGTTTATCACCCCTCACTGCTCACTGTTAGGAAGTTCTTTGGTATATTTAACTGAAATCCCTCCTGTGGCCATTTGAACTTTTATTCAATTCTTGGTGTAGCCAGGGAAGAGTAGTTATCACCATATACATAAAATCTCATATACTCAAGCACATTAGGTTACCTATCAACTTTCATCTTTGTAGGCAAAATAATCCACCTTCCCAGAGATTTTCTTGAGAGGCCGTATTCTCAAATGCATTGTTTATGTGGTACCAACTCTGCCTCCTTCTTTTCTTCTCACTGTCTTCCCAGAACATCCTCAGTCCTACCATTTCATATTCTAGTCCTTCTAACATTGCTTCTAGGGTGTAGTCACAGTAAGTGAATCAAAACTGTTCCTTCTATAGGCTTGCTTTCTTTTTAGCAGACCCACCAAAGGACTGTAGGTGGTCATAGATACACTTCTTTCTTTTCTTTCTACACTCCTAGAATTTCAATGAAATTCCTAGGATTGGAAATCTTTAATGGTGTCCTTCCCTGAGATAATTTCTCAGTTTCAAATATAAACTTCTTTACCTTCTGTCTTAGGGTTTCTATTGCTATGATAAACACCATAACCAAAAGAAACTTGGGGAGGAAAGTGTTTCTTGAGTCCTTTGAGGAAAGCCAAAGAAGTAACTCAATGCAGGTACCTGGAAGCAGGAACTGAAGCAGGGATCACAGAGGAACACTGATTACTGGCTGGTTCCTCAAGACTTGTTCAGCCTTCTTTCTTATACAACTCAGGATCACCTGCCCCTGGCTGGCACCACCTACCGTGGGATGGGCCTACCTGTACTAATCATCAATCAAGAAAATGCCTTACAGAGTTACCCATAGGCAATCTGATGGAGGCATTTTTCTCAATTGAGGTCCTGTTTCCCAAATAACTTTAGCTTGTGTCAAGTTGACAAACAAAATTCACAGATCAACAAACAATAACACAACAACAACAAAATAACAACCAGGACACCTTTACTTTAAAACTTTCTTACTGGCTCTAACTCCTCATTCCTCAGACATTTTATTCTGGAAAATTCTGTCCTGACTTATCGAGTCCTCGTTTCATGTCTAAAAAAAAAAAAAAGAACCCAAGTATTCAAGAAAAGGCCCATAAAGAGGCCAAGCATCCATGTCGAAGCACATGCACATTTGGAATGGAACAGTGGGTCGCTATGGGACCTCCTCTTCAGAGAGGAAAGAGCAGTCCTGAGAACATTCTTCAAGACAGCCTATAGGACTTTAAAGACTTAGAGGGCCAAAGTATGGCATTTGCTCTGAGCTTAGCAGTTAAGATTGGATCTGCCCAGTTTCTAGACCTAGTCAATTTTGAGATGCTAAATAGGAAAACCATCACCCTTTGGATTTGTGTAGCTTCCAAATCAGGCTTATTTGGCACCCAAATTTCAATTCTAGTTAGTGTAGTGGAAAGAACCCAGGATCTGGACTTTGGAGATAAGAATGTAAACCCTAGCCTGTCACAGAGTCACTTTGAACCTTAGTTTCTCCATCTGGGAAACAAGGAGCTTGACCTCAGTGCTTTCTGTCTCCTTTTGAGACTGAGGTTCCATAAGGAAGACTGAACTATTGTCACTTGGGAAACTCGCCAGCCTGGATGTAAGGTGTGCTTCCCCCTGCTTATTTTCTAGTTAGAGTAGACATAGAAATTGATGCATACTAGGCTGCCCTGGGTTCCTGCATTTCCAGGCCTCACAGATTTTCCAGCTAGAGGGTGTTCTGTGGATAGCACAAGCTCAAGCTCCAAGAATGTGATTCTCCTGTAACTGCTTAATGTAATTTTAGAATTACATCCAGAGCCTCCTCCAGTCCAAGAAAATAACTGTTGCAGTGTAAACACAGAGTGATCACTCATGAAAATGTTAGAAGGCATCTGAGAAAAAGTCCTGATGGCGTCTGCTTCAGTAGCTGGCCCTCTGCTTCTGCACTTGGACAAGGAAGCTCCTCAGAGTTTCATTCCTCTAGAAAGCTAGGGTCACATAACAGTATCCAGAAAATGACCTCTGGACCAATAGATTGAATTCCTTCTTTAGATTCTCTAGCTTTGACAGAATACTTCATGATACAAAAGCCTAAAGACATTTGTACTGAGAAAGTTACCCTGTGTAGTCACAGATAAAAGAACAATCACATCATTTCAAAGCTTAAACTTCATCAAAGGGGGCATTTCCCTAACCTTTCAGCTAAGTCTCAAATGTTGAAAGAACAATGGAAAGCAAGGGAGTAAAGGGAGGCTGTGGTGGGGGCGGGGAAGAAAGGGTGTAATGGGAAGAGAGAGGGAGAGAGCTGTGGGAGTAGGAAAATTCCATTAAAGGGTGAAAATTAAGTGAACAATTCAATTTCCCTCTTCAAGTATGTGCCTATTCACTGTGTCCAAGGAAATCCATATTAAATGGCTTCTAAATCACTTCTAAACAAAGTAGATGTTTAAGGCTTATGTGCTTCTTCCCGATAACGTTTCATACACAAGGTAGCAATACTAGGCAATCATGTGAGTTATAATTTCTATCTCAAAGAGATGTAACCAGTTCAGAATCAAATGCTTGAAACTAAAATTTACTTTTTTAATAGACAGGGCATCCTAGTGGTGAAACCTGGGAAACAGCAAAGGACTCCATGCTCACTCCTGCTCTCTGGTGTTTACTAACTTTGTCCAGTTCAGGTCTTCAGAAAACTGGGCAAAATTCCAGTCATTTTTCTTCAATAGGATCGCACATTAGTGAGCCACCTTGTAGGTGCTGGGAACCATACTCAAGTCCTCTATAAGAGCAATGTGTGCTCTTAACAGCTAAAATATCTTTGCAGCCTTGGTAAAGAATTTTAAGGTTCACAATTCAAGCTAATTGGGAGGCCTAGGCAGACAGATCACTAAGTTTAAGGTCACTCATGGCTACAGAATGAGTTCAAGGCCAGTCTCAACAACTAAGTGAGATCATGTCTCTTTCAAAAAAAGTACAAGAGGCCTAGAGATGTAGTCCAACAATAGTGCATCTGACTAGCACATCGAAAGCCCTGGGTTAGATTTCCAGTATCATGCAGACAGAGAAAAAAGAATTTTTTTTGAGACAGGGTTTCTCTGTATTGTTTTGGAGGCTGTCCCGGAAGTTGCTCTGTAGACCAGACCTCGAACTCACAGTGATCTGCCTGCCTCTGCCTCCCGAGTGATGGGATTAAAGGTGTGTGCCACCAACGCCAAGCAAAAAAAGAATTTTTAAAGGGGATAACATACTAGTTTTACAATCCCTGTCTTCCTTTCATGTCAGGACCCAGAAACAAACTGGTACATAAGCTGACTTCACAGTTGATTCTTTTAGTGCAAAGGAGTGGATTTTATTTGCCTAGTCCTTATAACCTGCTTTCTCTTTTGAGCCTCCTTTTTAGGCAAGCAAGCAAGCACTCCATGTACCACTGGCTAGTCCTATGTTAGGTGAAATGTGGACTTTAGAAATCAAGGACAGCACAGTGAAATGCTCCAACTACCATCTACTTCAGAAACATGAAAGGAATAGAGTAACACAGCAGCGTAAGTTTTTTTCTTCATCACAGAGAAAATGGTATTGAATTCTCAAAGCAAGAGGTATAATCTTTGATCATCTGGGAAATTGAATAAAAACAGCTTTTAGGCTAAGAATCAAAGTATTGATACCTTTCCATAGGTAGAGTTTCTTTTTCTCTATAAGTGGTCTTAGGTCTTCATTCATGTCTGATAACTGATCTGCTAATGGAGGGGGAATGGAGAAAAAAGAAGGCAGTGGGCAGAGCAAGAAATGAAATAAATATGAGATGGAAACGGAGATGTAAAAAGGAACAAGAAGGAAGAACCAAAAAATGAGGGCTTGGAGTAGATTGTAGTGGTAGAACTTTTCCCTAATATTCTTAAGGCATAGGCGCTAGGTTTGATTTCCAGTGAAAGAGAAAAGGGAGGACACGGGACACATAGTCATCATCATCATCATCACCATCATCATCATCATCATCATAATCATCCAACAAAGATAACTTGCATGTGTTGCTAGAGCCAATTCTATTTTCCATGGCTTTTTTTTACTGAAAAACTAATTATTCTCTTTATAGAGTAACACTCGAGTAAATGATAGAATAAAGCAAAGGACAACTAATATTGATAGAAATTATTGCAAAATTCTACTTCATTCATTTTTTCTAATTAAAAAAGACAATATAATAAAATCAAGAGCTTAACTTACCCTTTTTCTTGTTTTTAACAGGACCTATGAGAAATAGAAGAAGAAAGATTAAGTTAATAGAAGTTTAAAAAATGGTTGTTCTCTAGAAAGTCACTAAGGGGGACCCTCAAGGCACTGCAGATTTAAGAGAACCCCATAGATATGGGCCAAGTTTTAGACAGATATATATTACCCAATTATCATGCTTCTCCCATATGTTTTCTAGCTGTTGAAATACATGAAAAAACACATAGAGGATTACTCCTTTAAGAAAAACCCAAACTTTCCACTTTAGTTAGGAGTGAGAGAAATGGTATTCCTCTATAGAGATGAAATGCCCAGAAACTCACAACTTAACAACCTCAGGATGACATTCCACTAATGCTGAGAGTCCTGAGGTTGCATTCAGGTGAAGCTGTCATACTAAGTTTCAGATGGGGATACAAGAAGGGGAAAAGTGGTGCTCTTATGGAAGGAGCCGAGCAACAGTAGTTGACTTTCTAGTCACTTCTTTATTGTGATTTAATTTATTAGTTGTTAAAACAGTGCTACCATAATCCATTCATGTGGGGGCCACATGCACTCCCACAGCAATTTACCAAAACTTAATAAATGCTTTAAAGGAAATGTCAACAGTTGCATTGGTAGTGGAATCAGAAGTGCCTTCTCATGAATTGCTTCTAAGGAAAGCAGTTTAAATCAATATAGAGAACTCAGAAAGCCAAAGGCATGTCTAGTATAGTTAGGTGGTATTAGATGATAACCACTCCCTAGAAAGACATAGTTTAGGTCTCAGGTCACTTTTATTCATAGGGATTCAGGTTTCTTGTTTCTTCAGATGAATCTAACATTTTTCAGACACAGGTATTTAAACTCTGTTCCAACTTGCTACAGACCAATATTGCACAGGACTAAATAGTCATCAGTGTCTTTAGGAGCATTCTATTGAATTCAGTTTACAGATCATTCTTCTGTGTATTATCTAACTTGATTCTTGTAACAAGTCCAGAATGATCTCCACCTGCGAGATCAGGTTTCATAGGAAGCTAATAGAATCTCTAATCTGGAAGATTTCCAGCCCCATTAGCTTTCCCTCACAAAAAAAAAATGTGCAAAAGATGTTTCTGTTTGGTGGAACAATTGAAGATCATGAATTTCTCATTTCATATCCTTCTTTTCCTTATGTTTCTCCTCCTAGTCCTTTGTCATCTTAGTGTTTTGGATTTTTGAAATAGGGCTTAAATGTATAATCTAGGTTGACCTTGAACTGCAATCCACCTGCCTCGGTCTCCTGAGTGCTGAGATACAGGCATGAGCCATACCTGGCTTCTTTATGTTGTTTTTCAAAACATTAAGCATTCCTGAGAATGTGCATAAAGGTTCTGATAGGGAAACATGGCTAGAACTAGGTAAGAGACAACAATATAACCTGAGAAGGACATTCTTATTGAATAAGAAAGCTATTTAGTATTTATTCCTAGTATATGAATGAATTGGGAGCCCATTCCACATAGAGGGATACTCAGCCTAGACACACAGCCTAGGCCCTGCTCCAAATGATGTGACAAATTTTAATAATCCCCCATGGAAGGGGATCAGTGGGGGGCAAGGGAGGAGGGGAGGGAGAGGGAACTGGAATTGACATGTAAAACAAGCGTGTTTCTAATTTAAATAAAAAACTACAAAAAATAGAAAGCTGTTGAAGGAAGGATTTACACATCCCCTCCAGCTAGTTACCAATTGGTCAGTTAGTCACCTTAGCCTCATAAGCAAGAACAGTAGGGTGACAGTTGCTGGCCTAGCTCTGGTCTACTTTTTGGCTGTTTCAGCTAGTAAAGGGATAGTGTTATTGCATCAGATGCTGAGGAGGAAATCAGGCCATCACCAGCTAGCTGGTCTTTTCTGGGCATGCCTATGGAAGGTAGCACAGTAAATAGTGCCTGAACACCACTATCAATAGAACTTACAAGTTGTATAGGAACATACTAAATAAGGGGTACCTCAGGAGTAATGCTGGCTAGTTGAGCTGAGGAATAAAAGTTTTAGGAACCCTCTCCACTATTGCGAGGAGTCTTATCTGGGGCCATCCTTGTGGATTCCTGGGAACTGGCCTTCCCCTTTAATCAGATTAGTGAATGCCCTAATCATAGAACCTACATCCAGTATCTGATAGAAGCAGATGCAGTAACCCACAGTCAAGCACTGGGCTGAGCTCCTGGAGTTCAGCTGAAGAGAGGGAGGAGGGATCATATGAACAAAGGGTGGGGTCAAGATCATGATGGTCAAACCAGAGACAGCTGACCTGAGCTAGTGGGAGCTCACAGACTACAGACTGACAGCTAGGCCCTCTGAACATGAGTGAGAGTTATGTGGCTTGATCTGTTTGTTGGGGGGTGGGTGCTGGTAGTGGGACGAGGACCTATCCCAGGTGCATGAACTGACATTTTGGAGCCCATTCCCTATGGTAGGACACCTTGCTCAGCCATGATACAGGGGGTAGGAGCTTGGTCCTGCCTCACCTTGGTATGTCAGACTTTGTTGACTTCCCAAGGGAGGCCTTACACCCACTCAGGAGTGGATGGTGGGTGGGATGGGGAGAGGCAGAAGGGGTGGGAGAAGGAGAGGTAGGGTGAACTGGAGTTGAAATATAAAATGAAAAAAAAATGTTTTAGGGAAAAGTTCTCTTTAAATGTACAAGTGATAAGAGGGAAAGGGGACACCTTTCATTTGTTTGTGCTTGGACAAAGAGCCTTACTATACAATGCTGTCTAGCTTGAAATTTACTTGTGTCCCAGAGTGGTTTTGAATTCAGAACTCAGAACAATCCTCTTGCTTTAGCCTCCCAAGTGTTTGGGATTTACAGTGTTGTGCCACAATACACCTGACTCGGGAAAGGGAATTTAAAAAATGATTTCTACTACAAATCTGGCCAAGAATCTATGATTGGGGAGCTCATAGGCTCTAGGGGTGAATCTACTGCTACTATTATTAGTGCAGCTTTCAGACCTCACCAGAGAAGTGTGCAGTGAATGGTGGTTAATGCAGAAACTCATAAGTGGTCAAAGTGCAGAAAATAACTGTTAGTGGAGTGCTCAGCCATAAACTATTGTCCTGGCTAGTTTTATGTCAACTTGACACAAGCTGAGGGGAAGGAACCTCAATTGAAAAAATGCTTCCATAAGATTGGGCTGTAGGCAAGCCTGTAGGGCATTTTCTTAATTAGTGATTCATAGCAGAGGGCCCAGTCTATTGTGGGTGGTGTTATTCCTGGGCTGGTGGTCTTGGGTTCTATAAGAAAGCCGTCTGAGCAAGTAATGAGGGCAAGCCAGAAAGCAGCATCCTTCTGTGGCCTCTGCATCGGCTCCTGCTTCCAGATTCCTGTCCTGTTTGAGTTCCTGTCCTAACTTAATTTGATGATGAACTGTGATGTGGTAGTGTAAGACAAATAAACGCTTTCCTCCCCAAGTTGCTTTTAGTCAAGGTGTTTCATTACAGCAACAGTAACCTAAACTAAGACAACTATCTAAAATATTTCCTCCTCCTATAACACTCAGGGTCCATCACGGATGAGGACTCTGTCTTCCGGAAAGGACAGGATAGCTGCACTCATGAACTCCTTACAGTTGTGGTTGCCCATGCAACACCTGGAGAAGACCAAACTAGTCAATAAGGCAGCATGAATGTGTCAGTGGGGTTCAGTTTTCTTTAAGGGTATGGCCCTCAGTAGGTCTGTCTTCCTCCAGTGGATGGTCCCACACCCATAAGTATATGGGCAAGCACAAATTAAAGTCAGTGGGTTAGCCAAGAAATGTAAACAACCTAGATGTCCATCAACCAATGAATGGATAATGAAAATGTGGTACATTTATACAACGAGTATTATTCAGCTGTTAAGAAAACTGGAGTTATGAAATTTGCAAGTAAACAAACATTCTGAGTGAGATAACTCAAATTCAGAAAGGCAATTGTCATTTTTTCTCATTTGTAGATGTTAATTGTTGTTACTATTTTTTTCTTTCATTTTTTGTTTTTTTGAGACAGGGTCTCTCTACGTAACCTTGGCTGGTCTTGAACTTTCTATGAATACCTGACTAGCCTTGAACTCACAGAGGTCCACTTGCCTTTGCCTCCAGAGTGGTAGGATTAAAGATGCGTGCCACTACATCCCACCCAATGGACATTAATTTTGGATCTTCAGATATTTGTGTTTCATTTGGAATATCTATAAAGGCTATGGGATTAGTAAGGCACTACAGGGGTGCGGCTTTCAAGGGAGGGGGGTAGAATACTATGGTATAACGGGAGACTAACAGAACAGGAAGGGTTAAAAGAAGTTGGGGATAGAGGGCAAGGTAGAGGAGGGAGTATGGGAATGGGGAATTAACACTAAAGACCCTTTCAAAGAGTCATGTGAAAACTTACTACTGTGGAAGGTTCCTAAAACATACATGCATACACACACACACACACACACACACACACACACACACACACACACACACACACACACACTAGTTTAGAGTTAGTCTATTGTAGGGCAACAATGACCCTACTAGATTCCACAGGCTAACAAATAAAAAGCTCAGTGTCAGGAATGGGTTGCCTCTTCTGGAATTGTTGGCTAGTGAGTTCCTTTAAACCCTCACTTCTTGGAAAAGGTAAGCTCTAGACTACCTTCCAGAATTTGACGATAAGACGCTACTGTTGAAGGCAACACATACTTGAGTCATAGAACATGTAGAAATCAAGCTAATACCTGGAAACTTAATCCCTACTGGTTAGCTTTTATAGTGCTACCAGAAGAGAAAAGTAATACTCTTACTCAGCTGTCAACACTGAGAGTTATAATAACAACTGGCCTGGCAAGTCATGTTCACTGGTACAAGTATGGCGTGAATGTCATGAGAGTAACCAATCACTTTTTGATTGAATTTCAGTCCCACTGCCAAGATGAAACCTATATCTGGCACCATTATCCAGGCCAAGAAATTGTGTCTAGAGAGGTCACAGGCCTTAAAGGAGAACCTTCTACTATTATTCTGCTA